CCAGTACTCTCCTGCATGCCCAGTCCCCTCCCCCATACCCAGTCCCCTCCTCCGGTGTTTAGTACTCTCCTCCCATGCCCAGTACTCTCCTAACATGCTCAGTACTCTCCTTCTGTGCCCAGTATTCTCCTTCCCATGCCCAGTCCCCTCCCCCATACCCAGTCCCCTCCCCCATACCCAGTCCCCTCCTCCGGTGTTTAGTACTCTCCTCCCATGCCCAGTACTCTCCTAATATGCCCAGTACTCTCCTAATATGCCCAGTACTCTCCTAACATTCTCAGTACTCTCCTCCCATGCCCAGTAGTCTCCTCCCATAACCACTACTCTCCTAACATGCCCAGCACTCTCCTAACATGCTCAGTACTCTCCTAACATGCTCAGTACTCTCCTCCCATGCCCAGTACTCTCCTGTGCCCAGTACTCTCCTGCATGCCCAGTCTCCTCTCTCTATACCCAGTCCCCTCCTCCCATGTCTAGTACTCTCTTCCCATACCCAGTACTCTCCTCTCATGCCCAGTACTCTCCTAACATGCTCAGTACTCTCCTAACATGCTCAGTACTCTCCTAACATGCCCAGTACTCTCCTAACATGCTCAGTACTCTCCTAACATGCCCAGTAGTCTTCTCCCATGTCCAGTACTCTCCTAACATGCTCAGTACTCTCCTAACATGCCCAGTAGTCTCCTCCCATACCCAGTACTCTCCTAACATGCCCAGTACTCTCCTCCAGTGCTTTGTACCCTCTTCCCATGCCCAGTACTCTCCTCCAGTGCCAAGTACCTCATGGGCAACTTTGCCTACCTCTTCTAGTCTCCACTTTTCCCTCTTCCTTAAAAAGGCTCCTCTGCCTGGTGTGAGGTCATATACTTGTAACCCCAGCTATTCAAGAGGTTTAAGGTTTTGCACCTGTGACCCTAGCACTTTGGGAGGTGTGAGGTCATGCACCTGTGACCCCGGTTCTTCGGGAGGTGTGAGGTCACGTACCTGTGACCCCAGCTCTTCGGGAGGTGGAGAAAGAAGGATCCAGGTTGAGCCCAACCTAAACAAAGATAGCACAAGATCTTATCTGAAACACAAACAAAAAATAGGAAAGAACTGGGGTATGGTTCAAGTGCTAGAGTGCTTATCTGAGCCTGAGTTCGTCCCCAGTTTGGGGTGGAGAGAGGAGGTGGAAGAAGAACTAACAACCTGTCCACAAAGTCGGGAGGGAGGACTAACAGCCAGTGTACACACAGTCAGGAGGGAGGGAGGACTAACAGCCTGCGTACACACAGTCAGGAGGGAGGGAGGACTAACAGCCTGTGTACACACAGTCAGGAGGGAGCACTAACAGCCTGGGTACACACAGTCAGGAGGGAGGACTAACAGCCTGTGTACACACAGTCAGGAGGGAG